CCCATAAACAGTAAGGAGGGATGGGGGAAGAGAGAGGACATTATTTTTCATTTCTCATGAATGCTAAAAAAGAAAGGAATAATGTTTTTTATACCAAAATAAACCTTTTACTTAAAATTTCTGGGTATCAGTTCCCTAATCTGGAATATTAAAGATTTTTCTTCTTCTTTTTTTATTTATTTAATTTTGAGAGAGAGAGAAAGAGAGAGAGAGAGAGGCGCCATGGACTTGTTGTTCCACTTATTTACATATTCACTGGTTGATTCTTGTTATCTGTGTCCTGACTGATACAGGATCTGCAATCCTGGCACACTGGGATGCTGCTCCAACCAACTGACCCACCGGGTCAGGGCTGGAAAACTAGAGTTGAATGATTTAATCTTTAAAGAATCCAGTACCCTGGCTGGATAGCTGAGTTGGTTAGAGCATCATCCTGATATGCAAAGGTTGCAGGTTCGATCTCCCCAGTCAGGGCACATACAAGAATCAACCAGTGAAGGCATAAGTAGGTGGACCAATAAACCGATGTTTCTGTCCCTCGCCCCTTCCTCTCTCTCTAAAATCAATAATCAATTTTAAAAAAGAAGAAAAGAGCAATAAACCTCTACAAAACAGATGTAAATGCAAATGCCTGGAAAATGTTGCATTTTGGGTTGTGGAACCGCAGGGAGTCCCGGATTGGCCTCCCTAGAGAGCTGTTTTCTGCAAACATCAGGTGAGCGAGTCCTTTATTTCTGACCTTTGAAATTAAACAATACACTAGAGACAGGAGAGTGGTATATGTTAGTCCAGAGAAATTCTGGATGGAAACAAAGCAAAAATTTTCTTTGTATTATCTCTTGGTTACAGAATTCTCATACTGATTGTTTTTTGAGGGTTTTTTTTCTTTGTCCACAGTTTTCTCCCACTAAGTAAGCAATCTTATAACAGAAAAGAGAACAACAGCAGAAAAGTAAAACTTTCTGACACCAATATGGCTTGTTAAATACCTTGAACAGGACCTCTTTATGTAATACGGGCAAACTACTATATGACTTTTATGATTGGTTCACATTCTGGCAGAACTATGAAAATCAGATAGAACCATGTAAGCATTCAAAGCCTGTTGTTGCTGCCCAGTGTGGACTGTGAAAATACATGCTGTCTCATCTCTGTCGAGGAGCCAGTGGTAAAGATCCAGAGAGCTGAGTGTCTGGAACGGCTCTGGGAAAATCAAAAGTGTTAAGCAAAGAAAAAGGATGTTCACTATAAGGCTGGCTCATTACAGTGTGTTGCTGTTCCATATTAAAATTTAGGCCAACTATTAATCGCAGATTCTTTTAAACCACAACTACAAGAGCCAGGCAAAAATCATCCTGATAAAGTGATGCCAAGTATATTAATTGGTAAAAACCACTTAAATAAAGCATACAAATTATAACCTGGGGTAAAATATGAAAAGCATGGGGAAAAACTAAGATGGCGGCATAGGTAAACACCGGGAAATGGTCGCCTCACACAACAATTGAAAATTACCGCAAAGGACAGAGCAGACATCATCTAGAACAACAGGAAGGCTGGCTGAGTGTAAATTCTACAACTAGAAGGAAAGAAAAGCACGCTGAGAGCCAGAGGCGCTGCGGAGGTGAAGTGCAGAGGTACGGCGGCTCGCGCGCGCGAGGAAAGGGGGTGGCGCCTGAGGACGCGGCTGTCTTTTTGAATCACAAGCTCCCGATTGCTCTGAACTCCGGTTCCGGGAAGTCTCTGGGGACCCAGGTCTCATACGGGGAGAAGCTGGACTGTCGGGCAGCGGGCAAACTTGAGTGCGGCTTTCCCTCAGAGGTGCTTGCAGCCGTTACCGGAACACTGAGACGCGCGACTCCGGGCGGAGAATCGGCCATAGCTGCTTTCTCCGCCCTTTGACTCCCTGAGACCCCGCCCCACCCAGGCTGCGGCAGAGGCTTTTGCATGTGAATGTACCTAACTGCAGCCGAACCAGGCAGACCCTGAACTTCCAAGAGAAGGCCCAAGGCCCCACAGCCGCTTGCATTGCTTCACAGCTGAGCCTCTTCGTGGCTCCTGCTGTGTGGCCTCAGGCAGAGGCTGAATTAGCACCTCCTTAGATCCAGGAGCCACTGTACCCAGTGGTCAGAGGGGGACCATCCAGACTGCAACTCCTCAGATCCATAAGGGACACACTCAGGGAGCAGACTCAGTGAGCACCAAAGCCCCACTGAAGCAAGTCTTGCCCCAGAAGGGTGTCTTCAGCACAGAAGTTCTCCCACTTTAGACACAGCTGATTCTCACAGCCAACTGGCCTGGAGGTCAATTCCTCCCAGTGATTCTATAACAACCAAGGCACCAAGAGTGCACCAAGAGTGTCCACCCCAGGTAACTGGGGAGGCTGAGCTACTGGGCCCTACAGGACACCTGGCGCACAGGGCCACTCCATCAACACAGGGAAGCTGCCAAAATGCGGAGACAAAGAAACAGGTCACAAATGGCAGAAATGGAGGAAAGGAAACGATTGGATATAGAGTTCAAGGCCACGTTTATAAGGTTTTTCAAGAATTTTATGGAAACCGCCGATAAATTTAATGAATCCCTCAATAAGTATAGTGAGACCATGGAGGACATGAAAAAGGACCAACTAGAAATTAAGCATACACTGACTGAAATAAAGAATAATTTACAGAGATCCAACAGCAGACAAGAGGATCCCAAGAATCAAGTCAAAGATTTGAAATACAAAGAAACAAAAAATACCCAACCGAAAAAGAAAAAAGAAAAGAGATTCCAAAAATATGAAGATAGCGTAAGGAACCTCTGGGACAACTTCAAGCGTACCAACATCAGAATTATTGGGGTACCAGAAGGAGAGAGAGGGCAAGATATTGAAAACCTTTTTGAAGAAATAATGACAGAAAACTTCCCCTACCTGGTGAAAGAAATGGACTTACAAGTCCAGGAAGCGCAGAGAACCCCAAACAAAAGGAATCCAAGGAGGACCACACCAAGACACATCATAATTAAAATGCCAAGAGCAAAAGATAAAGAGAGAATCTTAAAAGCAGCAAGAGAAAGACAGTCAGTTACCTACAAGGGAGTACCCATACGACTGTCAGCTGATTTCTCAACAGAAACCATGCAGGCCAGAAGAGACTGGCAAGAAATATTCAAAGTAATGAATAGCAAGAACCTGCAACCAAGATTACTTTATCCAGCAAAGCTATCATTCAGAATAGAAGGTCAGAGAAAGAGCTTCACGGATAAGAAAAAGCTAAAGGAGTTCATCACCACCAAACCAGCATTATATGAAATGCTGAAAGATATTCTTTAAGAAGAGGAAGAAGAAAAAGGAACTCTTACCATTTGCCACAGCATGGATGGAACTGGAGAGCGGATAAATACCACATGATCTCACTCATTTGTGGAATATAATGAACAACATAAGCTGATGAACAAGGACTGATCCAGAGACGGAGAGGCATTGATTGGACTGTCGGGACTTGGAGGGAGGGTAGGGAAGGGTGGGGGTAAGGGGGAAGGATCAACCAAAGGACTTATATGCAAGCATATAGGCCTAATCAATGGACATGGACAACGGGGGGGTGAGGGCATGAGCGGGGGGGGGGGGGGGGTAGAGGGTAACGTGGGGACAAGGACACATATGTAATATCTTAATCAATAAAAAATATAAAAAAAAATATGAAAAGCATGCTGTCAATGACTAACTAGTTAATAAATGAATGAATGACTAATAAGTTTCACTTATTTCATAGGGCCAAGTAAAACTGCGTTTATTAACATTGAAGGTATGTTTCAACATACACATACAACTGTATGTCATTGACGTAAGTTAGTAAAAGTTATTTTACTATCTTGTCAGATTAGTTTCCAAATGCCTAACTCATCTTAAAAGCATACACTACTATTTATTTTCTAGATAATAGAAAATTATCTACTTACTGATTTGGATCTGATCCATAATCCACCAGAATATCCACTAGTTTTGTAAGGCCTAATAATGATGCCAGGAAAAGCGGCGTCTGGCCCAAGGAGTTAACTGCATCAACGTAAATTCCTGCAAAGCAAATACCAGGATCAATGTAAAGAACAGGACATTTCCTGAGATAAAACTAGGAAAATTCATACTAAGGGGCAAAAAATCAAAATTCCCTTACACAGCACTTATATGTATTACTACTGCAAACTGTTTCTCAAAAAAGAAAAGCTCTACGTGAGCTTGTTTGACTCAGCGGATAGAGCATCAGCCTGCAGACTGAAGGGTCCCAGGTTCGATTCCGGACAAGAGCACATGCTTGGGTTTCTCTCATCATTGACGTTTCTATCTCTCTCTCCCTCTCGGAAATAACTAAAAAAATATTTTTAAAAAACAAAAACGTCATTTACTGCCTGGCCAACCTATGAAACAGAAGGGCATCCCCAGTGAGCAGGAGGCAGCTGATCAGCGATTCCCTCTCATCATTGATGTTTCTCTCTCTCTCTCTCTGAAATAAATTTTAAAAAAACACGTTATATACTCAGGAAGTTGCACTGAAGTGTTTTACCACTTCATGTGTGAAAAAAAAATTTTTTAACCTACAGAGGGCATGAGGAATGGGGTGGTGGTAATAATGATACTGTGTAAAGGTGAGGACAGTAATATAAAATAATTACTTGAAACAGTAAATTTATATTTATATCCCATCCCACTAAAACAGAAACTTAATTTGATGGGGAAAGAGGTCAATGCCCAAATTTTATTTTATTTTATTTTTTTTTAATATATTTTATTGATTTTTCACAGAGAGGAAGGGAGAAAGATAGAAAGTTAGAAACATCGATGAGAGAGAAACATCGATCAGCTGCCTCCTGCACACCTCCTACTGGGGATGCGCCCGCAACCAAGGTACATGCCCTTGACCGGAATCGAACCTGGGACCTTTCAGTCCGCAGGCCGACGCTCTATCCACTGAGCCAAACCGGTTACGGCGCAAATTTTATTTTTAATGTAAAGATGTGTTTTATTTCTACTGGGGAAAAGAGGAGGATAAATAGAACTGTTTTCCAATTTGCTCTCCAGTGTGTACGCACATACCCACACACATACAAAAACATATACAAATGCACACCAAAAATACCCCAAACAAAAAAACAACAACCCAAGAATCAAAAATCAAAACACCCTCAAAGTGCACCAATACTACTTATTCTGACCAAAAGAAAAGATACTAGGAGGAAGTGCAAAATCAAATGATGGAAATGCTGAACAAACAGCATTGTGAATATACAAAATATTTGTATTACTGAAGTAGTAACAGTTGATGTTTTTTGTGTCGGTAAAACTTTGGAGCCACATAGCTGATTTGTTCAGTCTAGTCCATGCCAGCTTCCAAAAACCAGAAAAGATTTTAGTTAGCTTCCTTGTTTGATGCCTCATCAAAATTTTCTACAAGATGTGGAACAACATCATCATCTTCCTCTTCAATGTCTTCTGGTTTGGGGCCTTTGCTATCCAACACTCGCCCAGGGAATTGTTCTGCTAACTTCCGAAAGCTTGTTAAGCAGTCAGCACCAAGCTGACATGATAGTTCAGGAACCTTTCCTGTGAATGGTTTGGCTTCTGCATGACCGGTAATTGTAAAGGTGTTAGCAGAAAGGGAAGCTTGGATTTGGGGATTATTGAAATAAGTAACTACCCCATCATCTCCAAGCATGCTTACCTCTTCTACACCAACTCTATTACTCAGAGCCAGTCTTTTGTCATCAGCTGTAGCTCTTCTATGGACCACCCTCTGTCTTGGAGCTGGACCTTAGATGCCCAGCCCGGGCCTGACCCAGAAGTTAAACACACCTCCATACCCTGAACCACGCTGCTTTAAACAGGAAAAAAAAACTCCACCCTAACGAACAGTAAAACCGGCATAACTACTTACACGCTAAACGCTGGTTAAAAACCAATTAAAGCTTTATTTGTACCTTAAAGAAACCACTCAGACTGCGTCCTCTCCCTCTTGCCCTCCCGAAGGAGAACAAGAACGATCATCAATGGCAAGTGGCAGTTGCAGAAGCAACACCAAGAGCCGGCTTCACGCTCAGGAGAGAACGCTGCGCCTCCTCCTCGTGGTTTCGGGTGCTCTACACGATCAGAGAAACTTCTCTAGTAACGAACTATAGAAATGATCCCTGAAAGTATAGTCTTAACTCAGCACCGCGGGCGTTTCCGCAGTGAACGAAAGCCACACATATTACACTGATGGCGAGTTTTTCTAACGTGGTACTATCTTACCCATATATATACTGCCATGTATTCTCTCAAAAATTTTTCATTCAGAAAGCTCGACAAAGCGTTTTAAATCCTAGCGTTTCCGAAAAGTTAATTACAGTTCACTGTAATTAACATGCAATTGCTAAACAGCCAATCACACGCCAGTAATTACCAACCCGCCCCGCTTCCCCCGCGGTCCCGCAGCGCCGTTCACCACGTAAACGCTGTCTACATCCGAGTGCGCGGGCGCGTCGGGGGACAAGCCTCTGTTTAGACTTCTGCGTGGAAGCGGAGACCTTTCACAAGAAAAACATAAAAGCGGAAGATAAAAGCGATGACCCAAAGCAGAACTCTGACATTTGCAAAGCACTTCCTATTTTTTTATTTTGTCCTGTGATCCAAGTGCCAGACATATAAATGTTTTCCAAATCAAGTGATCATTAGGTACACAGGAACTGTAAATTGTGTTTAAACAAGCAGGACAGTACATCTGTTTAAAGAAAAAGAAAAAGGGAAAACCCGACCCCGGCCAGTGTGACTCAGCGGTTGGACGTGGACCTATGAGCCACGAGTTCACCACTGGGGTTTCCCGCTCCATCCCCAGCTGGGGGCCTGGGAGAGGCAAGCAATCCACCCTTCTCTCTCATCACTTATGTTTCTATTTCTCCCCCTCCCTTCCTCTCTGAAACAAATAAAAAACATTCTTTTAAAAAAAGAAGAGGCCAGCGACATAATTTTAAAAAACCTTCCCTTTCTCTTTCCCCTAAGAAAGTACATCCCAACCCAAAATTAACCTTTCTTTTCTTTCACTAATAACTCCTTTAACCCACCCTACTTCCTATAAAAACTTTCTATTTTGTACCCCTCAGAGAATGGGCTGATGCCTAATTCATGAATCACTTAATAAAGCTGATTAGGTCTTTAGATATACTTGTTTGAATTTTGTGGGTTTTTTGTTGTTGCTAATTCTCAGGATATTTTCTTTTCCGTTGATGTTTAGAAGGAGGATGGGGGAGGGAGGGAGAGAGGTGGATATGAGGCATTGATTAGTTGCCTCCCGCAGGCGCCCGGCACACCTGAACCCAGGTATGGGCCCTTGACCAGGAATCAGACCTGCCCCCCTTCAGTGCTCAGGTTGACACTTTTACCACTGAGCAAATCTGGCCAGAGATGAATTTTGTTTTTAAACAAATCATTCCCCTAGTTAAAGCTTCCTAGCTCCCCAGCTCTTGGGCCAAAAATGAAACATATCTTGCCTGCTTGGTGTGGCTCAGTGGTTGAGCATCTACCCCTGAACTAGGAGATCACATGCCCAGGTTTCCCCTCTCCCTTCCTCTCTGAAATCAATAAAAACATATTAAAAATAAATAAATAGAGCCTATCTAAATAGCTTATAAAGCCCTGCATATCTGTCTCCCTACCAGACCGTCTCCCTAATCTGTATATAGGGTAGGGACTTTTCTCATTTGCTGGAGGCAATCCATCCATGTTTCGCTGTCTTTCTTCCCCAATCCCTTCAATAAAACATATCCTTGGATGATTAAAAAACAAAACAATGAGAAACAAACCAAACCTCCAGATGCAGAAAATTAACAAAGGATTGTGCCCCAAAGATATGGATATTAAATGCTAAGTAATGGTTGGAAAAAATAACACAGTGTGAGCGTCTACCTATGAACCCGGAAGTCACGGTTGGATTCACATGCCTGGGTTGAGAGCAGATGATCCCCAGTGTGGGGCTGCTAACCAATGGTTCTCTCTCATCTTTGATGTTTCTCTCTCTTTCTCTCCCTAAAATCAATAAAAGCTCATCTTAAATAAACAAGCAAACATAAATAAATAAACAAATAGACATGATAAAACCAAAGGTTACACACTTTGACTTGGTTGGAGCCTCATCCCATGCACGGGAACACAATGCTAATTTTAGAATGCCTCACCAGGGGATGGTACATACAAGAACCAACCAATGGAGTAAGTAACAAGACACTCAGGGACATTACCAACTATACTGACATTATAATGTATATATAATTGTTTTTTTTACAGAGGAAGAGAGAGGGACAGAGAGTTAGAAACATCCATCAGCTGCCTCCTGCACACTGCCCACTGGGGATGTGCCCGCAACCAAGGTACATGCCCTTGAACGGAACCTGGGACCCCTCAGTTTGCAGGCCGAGGCTCTACCCACTGAGCCAAATCGGTTAGGACAACTATACTGACATTTAAACAGGAAGAATCAGAAGCCACTCAGACTGCGTCCTCTCCCTCTTGCTCTCCATCAAGGAGAGAAGAACGATCATCAATGGCAAGTGGCAGTTGCAAAGGCAACACCAAGCGCCGGCTTCACGCTCAGGAGAGAACGCCACGCCTCCTCCTCGTGGTTTCGGGTGCTCTACACGATCAGAGAAACTTCTCTAGTAACGAACTATAGAAATGATCCCTGAAAGTATAGTCTTAATATTGAGCTCCCAGCTTCTGGTGGGTCTGTGGCAGCTACACACATTTTAGTCATGGTGACATTATTTAGGTAAATTTAACCTAACAAATTATGTGCTATTTAATATTTTATAAAAATGGAAATGGAAAAGTTTAAAACATCACTTTCACTTGTAAATTCACCAGAAACACTTCAAAACAACAATATTAACATAGGGCTTATTAGCATAGAGCTTTCTACTAGCAGCCAATCACATGTTGCAGGCGACTTACTCCCACCCAGAGCGAGATGCTATTATCCTACCCACCCCACCAGGCACCACCTGGGTCCAGGGGGTCAGGCCATCTCACTACAGGTTAAGGAAATGCTGCTCTTGCTATTGGTCAGGGTGAACTGCCTGCTACAGAAGTACACCAGCTTGGGGAGATCAGGTTTCCTTTGCCTTGAAAGAAACAGGAGGGTTACTGGATAGCTTCAGGAGAGGGGCTGGTCAACAGAAAAACCAAGACCATGCCAGGGTTAGAGGGTTAGAGCTTTCTGCTCCACACTGCCCCTCACCTCAAACCCCGCCCCCACCTTTGGCAGGGAAGAGGGACTGGAGGTTGAGTGGAATCACCAATGGCCAGTGATTTAATCAACCCTGCTTAGGCAATGCAACCTCCATAAAAGCCCCTAAGCAATGAGGCTCAGAGGGCTTCCAGACTGGTGAACACATGAAGCGCTGAGGTGGTGGTGTATCCGAATAGGACATGGAGCCTTGTATCCTCTATAACAAACCAGTAATGGTAAGTAAAATGTCTCCTTGAATTCTGTGAGTCACTCTAGCAAATTACTGAACCTGGGTAAGGTTAAGAGCAGATTAGATATGACAGAGGAAGAGTCATCAAACTGACAATAGAAGAAAATTCTTAACAGAGCTTTGAGGATTGTGGGACAATACCCAAAAGTCTGACATAAATATAAGTGGATTTCCAGAAGGTGGGGAGAGAATGGAACAGAAAGGGTGTCTGAAGAAATAATGACAGAAAGGTCCCCAAATTTGTAAAAGATTAATTTGCATATTCAAGGTAAGAAACCCACGTAGGAGAGATATAAAGAAAATCACCCCTAGACCGCCATAATCAAACCACTTAATTTCTTTAAAGTATATATGATTTTTCAAATCGAAAATTATAAAGTTATATTATGGGGTTCAAAATTCATACAAATATAACACGTATGGAATCTTTATAATAAAGGACAGGGGAAGGGGAGAACTGAGCCTGTATGGTTGAAATTTGTATTCTGTGAAGTGGTACAATATTAAGTAGACTGAAAAATTAAAGATGCATTATGATACTCACTAGAGTAACCACTAAAAATATGATACAGAGAAGGATAGCTAAAAAGCCAGGATCAATGGTTCCCTAGCATAAGACCTCTATTAAACAATATGACTGCATTGGTGGGGAACATCTCATCTGATTTAACTTCTGATTTCCCCAAGAATTCAGTTTTTAGGAATGACCCGTTTTTCCTTCCAACGCTTATCAGAAATGTGGACCCAGTTGCATCTGCCATTTCAACACAGTGCCTACCTTTCTTAAGAATCTTCTTCACTTTTAGGTAACTCCCTTCTCTAACATATTCATGAAGCTGAGCTTCCAAGGAGTCACCTTTTAAGGAACCAAGCCGCACGGGACAGGGAACTGGAAGCTGAACTGCCCGAGACATCCTGTTTCAAAAGAAAGGAACATGCTTAGTCCAACTGGATCGGAAATGCAAGCAAGCAACTTGGATTCTTTCACCATTTTTTTTAATTTTAAAAAATTTTACACACATTTCTGTAACATTTTTTCCATTTTCATTTATAATGAACAGGATTAGGGAAACGATTACTGAAATTCTACAAGATTAACCTTTATTCTCAATGTTACCGTTGAAATTAAAGAACTGAATATATTTGTTATTAATTCTCAGGACTGAAATACTAGTGACTACTAGGAAGCAAAATTAGAAGTAAACATGTTAGTGTCTGGCCGGTGTGCTCAGGGTTGAGCATCAACCTATGAAGTAGGAGATCATTGTTCAATTTCCGGTCAGGGCACTTGCCTGAGTAGCAAGCTCAATTCCCAGTAGAGAGGAGGGGGTGCAGGAGGCAGCGGATCAGTGATTCTCTCTCATCATTGATGATTCCATCTCTCCCTCTTCCTTACTCTCTCTGAAATCAATAAAAACATATACACACACACACACACACGCACACGCACACACACACATAAACGTGTTTGTTGTATCATGATAAGTAGGAGAGTATTAACTCTGAAAGGTCAGTACACAAATGCAGTCATTATGTAAATATTTAGACAGTATAACATGGTGGGTTGGGTACACAGTTCAGACTCTGAAGCTCTGTTGCTCCCTAACTATGTGCCCTTGAAAAAATTATTTAACCTTGATAGCCCTCAAGTTTTCCTCTCTAAGTGGGGATAATAATAGTCTGCGGGTTGCCAAGATGTTTACATGAGCTAATACGTGTAAAAGGGCTTAGAGCTGTGTCTGGCTGGCACCAAGTAAACTGTGTGGTTACTGGTTACTGTATATGCTATGAACCATGCTGAGAAATTTTAACTTTCTACATGTGGCATCCACACCTGACCATCATGCAATCATGTGTTTGTGCGACACCTATCATGTGTCTCAAGTGTGACAGTTGCTATGTAAGACATCTAAAAGTGGATTGCTGCCATCGCAAGGGAGAGACACAGAGGGTGTGATATGAGGTGAAGGAAAAGGAGAAGCCATGAAGGCTGACACATTTGGTAGGTCTTCACTAGCCAGGAGGCTTTAGGTTACTGTGAAGTAACTCTTATTAATTTATCCACTGGCAAAAATGTGGAAAATGCTAATATTTTGGGTGTTCTCAGAGTGTGACTGTATTTGCAGATAAGGTCTTTAAAGAGGTGATTAAGTAAAAATGAAGCTGTTAGAATGGGGTCATAATCCAACATGGCTGGTGTCCTTACAAGAAGAGGAAGAGACTTCATCTTGAGGGTCGAGTGCAAAGGAGCCACCATGTGAAAAAGGCAGAAAGGGGGCAGCCATCTGCAAGCAAAGGAGAGAATCCCCGAAGAACCCAACCTGCTGGCACCTTGATTGGACTTCCAGACTCCAGAGCTGTAAGAAAGCTAATTTCTGTAGTTTCAACCACCCCATTCTGTAGTTTTTTATGGCAGCTCTAGCAAACGAATACACTAAAAATAGCAAGTTATGTCATATGTCTTCTTCTTCTTTTTTTTTTTTAAAATATATTTTATTGATCCTCTACAGAGAGGAAGGGAGAGGGATAGAGAGTTAGAAACATCAATGAGAGAGAAACATCGATCAGCCGCCTCCTGCACACCCCCACTGGGGATGTGCCCGCAACCAAGGCACATGCCCCTGACTGGAATCGAACCTGGGACCCCTGAGTCCGCAGGCCGACGCTCCATCCACTGAGCCAAACCGGTCAGGGCTATATGTCTTCTTGAAAGGGCAGTCTACGGTAACTATCTCCTCCACTCCATTCAGCTGGGTTGCCACCGGCACTGAGGGCCTGTTAATGTGGTGTTTGTTCTTCCCCATACTCCTGACGTTGGGTTGCTGAAAGAAGTCCCCACTATCTTCTTAGAACTGGACAAACCCAACTTGTATTTTCAGGCTCTGTCATACGGGAATGTTCACCTGCATGTGACACTGCTGCTTAATCTTTTATTGCTTATTTTATTGAGATAAAACATATACAACATAAAATGTACCATATTAAACATTTTTCAGTGTTCAGTTCACTGGCATTGAGTATATAAACGCTGTTGTGCAACCATCGGCCTCCAACACTTTTTTTCATTTTCCCAAACTGGAATTCCATACCCATGAAACACTAACTCCCCATTTTCTCCTCCCAGCCCTGGGCAACAACCATTCTACTTTCTGTCTTTATAAAGTTGACTATTCCTGGTACCTCACATAAGTGGAAACATGGGAACATACAGCATTTGTCCTTTTGTGACTGGATGACTTCACTACACCCTCAAAGTTCATTCATGTTGTAGCATGTCAGAATGTCCTTTTTAAGGCTGAATAATATTCCATTACATGTGTGTATGGATACACATGCACACCCCCATATTGTTTATCTATGCCTCCACTGATGGACAGTTGTGTTGATTCCATCTTTGGCTATTGTAAATAATGCTGCTAGCTAGGAACAGGGATGTACAAATAACTCTTCAGATCCGTTTTCAGTTATTTTGTGTCTATATCCATGATGGATCATATGGAAACTGCATATTTAATTTTTTAGAGGCACTGCCATACATATTCTATGTGGTCATTCCATTTTTGTATTCCCACCAGCAGTGCACAGGAATTCCAATTTTTCCAGATCTTCACCAACACCTGGCAGTTTTCACAGGGCGTTTCAGCTACAAATACATTTCACTACTTTAGACTCAATAGTGTCCCTTCTATATAACCGTTATTCCACAACTAGAGTGAAAACTTAACTAGGGACCTGGCAAGGTAACTCGGTTGGAAATCTTCCTTTGCGACACATGCAGAAACCAACCAACTGGATCCATGTTTTCCTCTCTCAAATCAGTAAGAAAAGGTTCCTATTATAACAAAAACCTAAGAGTAGTGAGCCAAAATACCACAAGTTATACCCACGAACAAAAGAGGAGCCTTTAGAGAGCCACATAACTGTTTGCACCCAACTTACCCAAAATAAAAAAAAGCTATTCTCAAGAATACTGTATTTTTAAAAAAATATATTTTATTGATTTTTTACAGAGAGGAAGGGAGAGGGACAGAGAGCTAGAAACATCAATGAGAGAGAAACATTGACCAGCTGCCCCCTGCACACCTCCCACTGGGGATGTGCCCACAACCAAAGTACATGCCCTTGACCGGAATCGAACGTGGGACCCTTCAATCCGCAGGCCGACGCCCTATCCACTGACCCAAACCGGCTTTGGCTCTCAAGAATACTTTGAATGCAAA